GCCTCCGAGAAAACCTTGAATTTTTTTGTGGATTCCCGAAATGTATGAAAACAAAAATAATTTCAAAAAAAATCAACTGTTCTTGATAATAATTATTATTAAGGTATTTAATATTTATTCGCATATAAGTACGAATGAGACATTAAAAAATAAGAAATAAATATAATTTTTTGGGTACGCTATTTCGGACATCGCTCTTACGAGTCCATCAGTGTGGTTTGACGATTACTCGTGGGCCGCGGTGGCGGCAACGTTTCGGACTAGCGGTCGTTGACAATAAACCTGCCATGATTGAAAGAGAATAATTATTAGCATTTGCTATTAGTAATTAATTTATTTTTTATATTTATTAAATTAATATTAAATATTAATATTAATGTTAATGCAACGATTATTTAAACTCTTATTTCAGTAAGTCGTAATTTAAGATCCAACAAATCTAGTAATTGACAGCAGAAACGGGTCTAGCGAAAATGAGTCATGGAACCAGCATTGAATTTTTTATTATTTTTTTCAACATTTCATGTTAAAAAAATAGGATAATTCTCCAATACCTACCCAAAAAGAGTGTTTTCAAATCTTGCCCACGTGAGCCAATCGTTATTAACTACATGAGCCAATCGTTCTTAACTCTAATCTACCTATTCGCACGGTACAGTTCCTTGAGCGATCGACACCCTCGCCGTATATTTGCTCAAACCGTGCGCTGAACCCTGACTTTATCATCCGCAAGGCACTACGGTTCTTGCTTTCCAACCATCAAGAAAGCCTATCTCCTTCCTCATCGATCATCGGCTTATCTGCGTGGGCTCTGTCAAATGGTTCAGTGGAGCAACCTAGGAGCTAGTCTTCACAACTTAGCTGGACTACAAGGTTCGAAGACAGCAACCCACATTCCCTGCGATCTTGCAGATGGACAAGACAGGGAGAAACAGCTTAGGAGGAGGAAAGTTGGCTACAATGTGCTGTTCGCTACTATAGTCTAGAACAGAACGCTCCACATCGGAAACAGGGGCAAACAGAGGAGGGACAGGGCCCATCTCTGTCGCGCCCAGCAACGACCAACCTCACGTGGCTGGGTCACCCAAGTGCTGCGAGCTTGAGGGCCGTAGCTTGACACACAACAGAGAGTCAAAGGTCTTGCAGGAAGGCAAGCCGGTGCCTCTGGAAGCAAGGCATGCTGGCTGGGTTTGGTTGGAGCCCAAGGGCTTTATCGTTCAAAGGTTTTAAGAGAAAGCCATAGGAGACCTTTTAAGCGAAGAAGAAGTTGCTATGCAAGTCCCCCACTTCCTATCCAGTGAGGCAGGGGAGCCCAATAGAAAAACAAGGCCGAACAAAGCCCAGATGAAGACGCTTAAAGCCAAACCTATTGGTGATCAAACTTGGCTTGCTGATTCGTCCAAGGGACAGCAGCTCGAAAGCACAAAAGCAGTCGGAACCATTAAGCCACGAGGTGAAGTCGGGAGCTTGGTGTTGTGCTTTGTTTTTAAAGAGGTTGACAGGGTCTTTTGTGAAATTAACGGTAACAGGATTCAAACATCCATGGAGGTTGCCAAAACATTCAGAGGATTAGCTGGGGGAGCTGAGTCCTGCCAACGGATCAAACTGAAGGCCCCGTGGGCCTTAGTTCGACCGAAAGGCATGTCAACGAGGAAGACGATCTTCTTGCAGTGCATGATGCCAGACGCCATCTTTAGGACTCCCGGAGGAACGAGGGTCCACGATAGAGGAAAAGGGGTTAGTCAAAAGGCCGTTGAAGGTTTGAGTGAGGCCCAGTCATCTGTCAGGCCCTGTTCTCCCTTGACTAGTGAGGTAGGGGATTGTGTTCAGAAAACAGGGGCGAATAGAGCTTGGGTGGAGCCCCTCTTTGCTACGCCCATGTGCGACCAGACTATGGATGCTAAGTCACATAAGAGACTACTGCTCGAAGGCTCTTCAACAATCGAAAACAACGGACCACACGCCATAACCAGAAGCGCATCGGTGCTCTGCTCGGTGAAGCAGCCGTCTGGGTTTGTACAGCCACTGGGCAGAGGAATTGCCGAGATTGAGTTGTTGAAGGGTGGCCGAATAAATTCGGTTGAGGAGAAAACCCAACCCGAAGTAGAGACGATGGTCCCAGGAGTTACCACAGGAAAGGGTGTCGATCGCTCAAGGAAATGTCCCGCACAGACGGGTAGGTGAGAGTTAGCAAAGATTGGCTCACATGATCAATAACAATTAGCCCACGTGAAGAGGGGTTTTAAACCCCACACATTTTATCAACGGTAAAAATAACCTTATCTAGGTGGCATTTACTAGGTCATGTCATCATCATGGAAGTTGAAAAGGACTCAAACCGTCAATTCCTCGTTGTCGTCGCCATCGTCGTTAATGGTATTAGCAGTTGGATTGAATTTGATTACTTCATCAGGAAACAATGAGAGAGAGAGAGAGAGAGAGAGACCGGTCGACAATTAGATTCGACGTCATTCACCGAAAAGGGGAAAGTTGGTATTCAACTTATTATAGTCTAATAATATATTATATAATATAATTAAAAAATATAACACGTTTTCTTAAAAAATTAGTCTTACCGACGTGATGATTTCCATTATGACCCATTAATATGATGATAAAAAAAAAATTATTTTACTATATTTATTTAATTATTTTTTAAAAGCATAAAATTTGTTAGTTAAATGTATTGCATTTATCCAACGATGGAAAAAATATTTTGGTAAAAATTCAGGGTAAAAACACTTTCTGAAGGAGCAATAACCAACAAAAGAAACAGGAATTAACTTTTAACAAGAAAATAATAAGAACCACGAAGAGATTAACAGAGGATAATCTCTTGTCCATTAACTTTATTAAAACAGGGTTACATAATGCTCAGCTTGGAGGACGTTGCAACAATTTATACAAATCAAAAGATAAGAAAAGCCATAAAAGGGCTAGCTACTAGTACTGCTTGTATTATGTTACAAAATTGAAGCATTCAAGAATGAAGATCAAAGCTCCACTACTTCTTCTTCTTCTTCTTCTTCATCTTCTTTCATCCACCTTCCATTAATCTGTTGTCACACCACTGGTGATAACCCGACTATAACCCACTGCCAAGAAAAAGAAGTTAATAAATATAAAATAATATATTTGAAACGTTTGTTTCAGTAATCAAAAGCGTGAGCACAAATAAACAGATCCTGCGGAAACAATTAAAAAAAATTACTTTCAAGAACTTACATGCTATATTTTTACCAGAAAAAGGCAATTAAAAACAAGCCTCTTCTTATGTGGAAAAGGGTTTTTGTTTCTTATTTCAAACGTTTCAAAAATCATTGTCACTTCCAAAGAAAAAACAAAATGCAAATCAAAATTATTGTTTTGAGACATCAAAATATAAAACAAAAAAGAACAAAATATTTACAAAAAGAGATAAAAAAAAAAAGGCATAAGTAAGATCTTTCTTGTTAAATTTTTTGAAAGTTTTCTCTCAGAGTTTTGACAGAAATTAAAAATACAGAGAACGGTAATTTTGTACAATTTAAAATTAAAAAAAGATTAACATGATAGCTTTTTTCAATTTCTCGTATAACAGGAGATGATCATGTTACGAGGTGGGTTGTTGGGCTTCCTAAATTTTGTTATAATGGGGATTTAAAATTGCCTTTAAAAAGCATAAAATGAAAGTTAGCATAATATAATTACTGACCTATGCTACCACGCTCTTGACCCTGAGTCTGGCAATATTCAGCGCATGGACTGGTGCACAATTCGGGCTTATGCCAACGGCCGTGCACTTAGGCATGCATTCGTTGGTCATGCAATATTCAAAATCATGAGCTTCACTTGTCACCACAACCACGGCTATCAGCACCATTGCCATCATCACTTTCATGGCCGCCATCATCATCTTCTTCTTCTTCTTCTTCACACATTTATATATGTTAGCCATGGCCTTAGATCCATGTTCTCAGGAGTGGAAGGCGGAGAAGCAATGGAATTTGTGTGGAACCAAAAAGTTAATACGGAAAAGAATGAGAAGCAGAAAAGGAGAGGTTAAGATTATTGTAGAAACTTTTCCCACTAGAGAAATCAGACTAAGAAAGAGGGTGGTTGTGAATGAAAGGAGATATTTTGGGAGGATTTGGTAATTTCAGTAAACTGTAGTTGGGGTGAGATTTAATTGGATCGTGTTTGCCGGCTCTTGGAAGTTCTTTTATTATTGACCAGAGAAGCATGAAGTCAAATTAGCGGAGTTAGAAACCCAATTGCTACTTAAAACATGTATGGTAATATAGTTTGTTGTCAGTAATTATATATACTGGAAGTTCATATTCTTTTTTAAATTAATTTTGAAAATTATGTTATGTATTGTCAAATTTTTAAAAAAAAAAAAATTCATTTTGAAATATTATAGTTGTTAATATATACTTTTTTTATAAGTTGAAATGTTCATGAAGGTATATCATTAATAAAATAAAAATTCAAATATATATATATATGTATATACGTATGTATCTTACACATTCATCTCTTAATAATGAACTGCGCATGGACTAGATTTTGTTTTCAATTACTACTTTATTTTATTTATTTCATAATTATTCTAATTTTATTTTTTTCCATTCATCAAAATTATACATTTATGACACGTCACTCTAATAGATTGATCCTTGGCAACATTCCAAGTGATAACTTTCATAATATAAAAGTGATTTCCAAATTTACAAAAGTACTTTTGGGAAACGATGTTCTATTTGGGAGGCAAAGGAGAGGAAAATAAACAATTCTGTTTTTGGCAACGGCGAGGTTGTCTAAGCATATCCTCTTTTTGCTTCTAATTCCAAGCATATCATGCAAGCTTCTACTGGGCCAAAACAACTTGCTTTCATCTTCCGTAGACACAACCCAAGATTCGGCTTTTCTCACAAACAAGCCGCTGGTGAGCATGATTTTTCAGCAAGACCATAAAATTATATATATCAAACAATTAAAATAAGTTCGCTACAACATATTCAATGCTCTATGAGATTCAAAATCTCTGTAATCTCCATTTGCCTGACCACCAAACATATTATAACCATACATATCAAAAAACCTGTCATCAGGACCCATGTTTCCACCTTCTCTTCCCTTGAAACCCTCCGCTGGCGGTGCCCATGGACCTGGACCCGAGAAATTAGAACTGGATGCTTCTTGATTCAGGCCGATAGCATTGGGGTTTTGCGGCGAATTTAAGGTTGCCAATTTGTTGGTGGAATTGGACGGGGTAAGAGATATAGACGCAGACTGCTGCTGCATCTGCTGTTGGTTCTTCATAGGTGACTTTGGCCGTAGAAGCTCTATTTCAGGGGTTGTCAAAACAAGGTGAGGTGCCTCCGGAGGTGGGTTTCGCCCCCCACCTCCCTGCCATACTTTTCCGTCCTTATCAGAAAAGTTCCTAACATATGCCTGAAAATCACCAATTTGACGTCAAAATAAGTTATAGTTCCATTTACCCAAAGCATTCATAAAATTAAGAATTTCCAGTTCTGTAGTCGAGATTTTAAACTAGAAAAAAATAAGTGCCAAGCGGACTGACAACTTCCAAACATGGATCAGGATGGCTTGTTCAGGTAACACTGGTTGAGTATTTCTTCTTCTTTCTACTCTAAAAAGATAAGCAACAGAATTTTACCTCAGAGTTAAAATTTGACGAGCTTAGTCCTTTACCAACAGTCAACCAGCCAGATCGAATGTTGTGGTCCTCACCAAATAACTCTATCCTCCTTCGTCCAAGGGCAAAATGCTCAATTATCCTATACATATCTTCAGGTTTTGCAGTTGAACCTGAATTACATATGGAGTAAGATTTCAAGATAGTTGCTAGAATGGTTATCCCGTAAGAAGTGGTTAAGAATCTAGGAAGTGCATGTGAAAGAATTTTAAACATCATAACTTACAATACAAAATTCTAAATATACTTAAAACTATGCCAGTAAAAACATAATATCTTATGCAGATGACTAAGCAGCCAAGAATGCCAGGTCTTAACCTTTGGTTATTTCCAGTTATCCTAAGGGACATGGTGAAAGCAGCACACTGGGGGAGCCACAACAAAAATAGTTCAAGTACAAAAGATTATGTACTACTTTGTAGAATTTAAGAAAATCAAGAACTAAGTCCGCACTAACCATAAGGAGGCTCTTCAGCTATTATCACATCGGTATCAATGTTGGCATGGATTATGTGTCCATCTGTACTTCTTCGAACGGTTCCTTTTATGCCCATCAAACAATGTTCCTTCACATGATGTCAAGGCAACAAACAGTTTAGAAGTCAACAAACATTAACGCTAACAAAACAGAGTTGGGTTCGGAAAGGAAACAAAACAGTAAATGAAGAAGACATTTGAACTATCAACCTTTGACCGCTGAAACAGAGTATGAGAATCATGTCGTAATCCTGGAGTTGCATTAGTTTTATTTGTCTTCACCCAACATATATCCTCACATCTTCGAAACCCCCACTACAAACAAGAAAAAAGAGAGATATAGAGAAAGAGACGTAGTCAAAAATCAGTAAATAAAATGAGAAATGCACGTATAGCAATCAAAAAGAACATCAATTCAGAACCCACTAAGCTGCTTTCACAAGCATTAAATATTTACCTTTTTTAAACATTGACGTCCTTGTTCAAGCCCAAGGCCATCACCAACCCAGAGGAAAATAAAAGAAGGTGTGTCAGCTATTGCCTGAAACATGAATATATATTGTCCATAATCAAGCACCAAAATATAAAAAAAATAAAATCCAATCCATATATTTCACATGTTAATTGATCCTATAAACACAATATAAGCTGCATTGGCAACAGGACTATGAATCTATCATTGTATCATCTACATGGTAAGTTTTTTTTTTTTTAGTACATAGTAATTTTTTCTTCCCATATCCTAAATTACATAATAATTTAGCATATGCAAAGAAAATCAATTCATACATTTGAAGTGCAAAAAAATATGAGACCCAGTCATAATATAAAATTTGCATACATATTAGAAGAGCTCCAAGAAAATGAATTACCTCAATTTTAAGATTCATTATTTCTTCAAATGTCCAGTACTCCATGTGATCAGTGACACCAGGAGCTCGATGAGCATATTCCTCCCAAGGGGGTCCACGAGAATAACATCAAACTTAGTTCCAAAAAACTCAGGTGAAAGCACATGCTCACGGAGGTCACACTTGTAGTACATGGGAGGGGAAGCAGATTTGACTACAATCTCATCCTTCTTTTGTATAAGTTCCCTCAGCTTGGGGTAGTCCTCCACAACAGTTGTTGGGTCTAGTTCCCGGATAAAATTCTGGGGCCGCATACCAGTGTCAACGAAATTCTGGGAATAAATCATTCTGCTCTCCTCTAGAAGGAGCTTTACCAGTAGGTCCATTAGTTCTAGGAGGAACCCAATTGCCAGAGGATTTATCCTGTAATGGTCCACGTCCAACTGGACCATAGCATTAACACCAGCAGCAGTCATATTTGGAGGGTCTCCTCTTCCCATGCCTGGTTGATTAAAATACATAGATGGATTTGGTGGGGTCCCCATGTTGGGACCAAATCTTGGTCCTGAAGGTCCAGCTCCAGGAGGAACAGGAGAGAGACCAGGTGGGACAACTAACATATTCATCTCAACACCTCGGCCTCCATGCCAAACAACAGGAGGCGAAAATGGTGGCATAAACATGTTAGGAGAAATTGGAGGACCTGGAGCGGAGAGACATTAGGATTTAGTGGCTGCATTGGTCCAGGTGGTGGCATTCCAAGTGGTCCAAAAGGTGATCCCATCAAGGGAACTGGAATTCCAAATGGTTGGTTCTCTCTCCCAGAAGGCCTAACCCTTCCACCCCTCCCCCCTATGTTTCCTTTGGCTCCTTGAGGGCCAGATCTGCCAAAGAAACCTGGCTCCTGGTTTCCATGTGGAGGCTGTGAACCACTACTAGAAGTTTGGCCACCTGCAGGGCGACCAGACATGACACCTCTCTGCCTCTTGTTTTCCCTCCCTGAAATTCATCATCTCTCCATGATTTTTGAATTTTGCAAGGGAGGACCATCATCCGTGAATCTATTACTCTTCGAATCATCGCCAGATTGAGCCCACTCATCATTGGTGGCAGATTTTGTATCAGATGGCAGAGCCACTTCGCTTCTCCTAGAATTGAACCTGGATGGATTCTCTCTGCCATAGTCATGGGGATTGGTCTGGATTTCTATTACATCATAGTTCTCATTTGAAATCCCATAATTTGATGAAGTTTTAACAGCCTCAGTCCTATTTCCATCTTTTCTGCCTGACCGACCTTGAGGCCTTTCAATGTCAGTCCTCTCACGGCCATGTCTTTGAAACTCCCATTCTCTGCTATGATTATAGGAGAAGTCCCATCTTTTATCTCTTTTTTCACTGCTGCTAGGTTGCCTTCTTTTCCAATTATCTTTTGAGCCTCTTTCATAATCAATCTCAACATTTTCTGATTCATGATGGTGCCTCCCACTCCTCTCAGGAGTCTTTGACCTGTCCGAATGAGCCATTTCCCTTCTACTGGTGCCTCTTGCCCACATGCCATCCTCCTCTATACTAAAAGGCCTCTCACGGCTTTCATAAGCATCCCGGCTAGCGGAACTTTTCTGCTGTCTATGTTTATCCATTCTCTCCTTACCATCACGAGCCACAGAACTTTCTTCTTCTCGAGCCTCTAACCTACCCTTGCTCTTACTCCTTTCAGTATCAATTCTCTCATCATTGGGTTTCATACCCTTGTCAATAGTTGAATCCATACCTCTGCTTTTGCTGTGCTCGGTTCAATTGTTGAGGACATAGTTCTCTCTCTAGCACTCCCATGCTTAGGATCTGAAGATTTACCACTTTTCACATCTATTATTTCGACATAGTTATTTTCTTCAGCTGTTTTGACAGCATCAGGTTCATCCCATCTTCTCCTAGGGTTCCTCCCATGCTCAGAAGATCCATGATCCTTTTCCCGACTGGCTTCCCTCCTCTCTGAATATCGGGCATCTCTATCCACCTTCTCAAGCTCCCTATCATATGATTTATCATCTTTTCCTTTGTTTCTGCCCTGAGATGAGTCATAATCTGAATACTTTGAGGTCAATTTCCTTCTCTCACCCTCATCAGTCGGCCATGTCCCCTGTTACCAGACCTATCTCCACCATCATGCCTATTCTCTTGCTCTCCATCCTCATACCAGCTGCTCAATTTCTCCAACGTACTCTCTTCTTGGTGCTTCTTCATCTGCTTTGCACGTGAATCCTTTCTTGCTTCATAATCATCTTCATCACTGGCCGTTCTGCTTGAGCCACCTGATCTCTTTCGGCTCTCATTCCTATCCCCAGCACTTCGCCTTCCAACATCATCTAATTCTTCAGCTTCATCTCCATTCCCCAACTTTCTTGACTTACTTAATTTTTGCTTCCTTCTATCTTCGCTCTCCCAGTCTCCAGGTCCTCTGTTCCTATCACTCTTAACATCCGAACTGTCCTCCATTTCCCGTTTTATATAACTTCCAACGACTTCAGTAACTTATGCAACTCCATAGCAAGACCAGCCCTCAAAACATAGATTAGTCTTCATTATTACATGATCATGGAACACATGACGGTGTGCAAGACGAACATACAATAACTATTCTCCTCAAAACAAACACAGGAAGGTAAGAAAACAGAATGCACATCAATTTTCCCCCATTTTTCCAGATGACTAAGGAGCTAGAGATCAGGTATTCAATATGATTATTCTGCACAATGAAGCTTACAGATGTAATGGTTGGTTTTTTATGATGTGTGTGTGTGTGTGTGTGTGTGTGTGTATGAAGTGAACGCGAGAATAAAAGCTCATAAAGAAAGCTCACTCTGATCGAAACAGCTTACAACCTCCGTTCGCAAATTCTTCCAATCCGCAACAGCGATCTAAAGCAACGGCGTCAACGACAATCGCTGGTTATTAATTTGTAGGTACACTAGTAAAAGAGGCAGAACGCCGACAGGGAGAGGGAAGGGAAGGGAGGCGGGTCGTTGAAGGTGCAAACCAATCTCTTAACCCAGAGATGGCCCAGATGGAGAGAAAGGAAAGTGAGAAATAGGCGCGATGGTGCCAGGGGCTAGGGTTTCTGAAGATCGTCTATGACTGCTCCGCAGCATGGAAAAGGGGTAAAGGGCAAAACTGGGATAGAAAAGGTCATTTTATTGTTTTGAGAGAAGGTAGTTGATTAATAAATAAAAATAAAAATTTCAATCAAATTCTGCTTAGGTAACATGTAAACTCCTGTAAAATATATTTTAGTCTAAATTAAACCAAAAGTAGATTATTTTATTTTAAAAATATTTCAATAAATTATTTTAAAATCAATAAGATATATTAAGTGAAATCAAATTAATTTGTAATAAATAAACACTTTTCCCTTACCTTATTTAAGAACCCCGTTACTAATGGATAATTCCGCAACTCCTACTCCCATTTTTTTTTTATACTTTTTAATTTCGGCCCATTTTGTTAGTAAAAAAGAAAATATATACAAATCCGTAAATTTATTTTTTTTTAAACAAAATTTTAGATAATGAAATTAATTGGACATAATGAAATAATATTTTTCTCGCTTTAACTAATGTTTGCAACTTTTCTCTAAAATAACCAAGATTATAACTTTTAACTTTTTACTTATTAAACTGTTTAATAATAGATTAACTCTTACGTCAATTCTTTGACTTATTTAATTTAATCATCTAACTTTAATTCAATCAAACCTGATTCATAAATTTTAAATTAGTAACAAATGTAATCTTTCATATTAATTTTTATTCAATTAATATGAGATGATATTAATTCAAATTTTGAATTAATTTTATATTATATGCACGAAATCGTTAAGGGGTAAATTTTTTAATTAATTATATTTTTTTATTATAATGAATGTTGTTATTTTTCAGATTGATTGGGAGATACATTGTTAAATTAATTATCATTTTTTTGTTATAATAAAACTTGTTCTTATGTCCATAATATTTATTAAATTATGAATAGTTAACAATGTAGGCTAAAAGGGTTAATTTCATTAAAGCTATTATTCTTTTTTATTATAATAATAAAAATTGTTATATTTTAAATTAGTTTAGGGATAATTTTTTAATGAATTATAACCTTTTTATTTCAATAAAAACTAATATTTTATAAAGAATATTTGCCAAATTATAAATAATATATACAATATGGACTAAGAGATATTTTGATAATTTAAGCGAGTATATTAATTCTGTAAATTATTTTTAACTATAAATATAAAATTGTGAAGTTTGAATTGTTATATATTATATTTTAAGTAAATAAATATTATCATAGAAATAATTTAGGGGTGTAAATTATATTTTACCTTTAGAATATATGAAAGTAAAAAATTACTAAATTATCCTTAAGAAAGCCTTGATCTCTCATTTCGTCCCTATGGTATGCTAGCTTTCTTACTTTCTTTGTTTAGGAAAAAACAGTAAGCAATTAATTCACTTGGATTGATTTTCCATTGTATGATATTTTTTTTATTTTAAATACAAGTAACGTGCATTGTTCATACCTTACACTTGGCAAATTAGAATTGAATTTATGGTATCCTAAAACAATTTAGAGCCAACAGGTTTAACTACAGAACAACACAAACATGTGTTTACAAGTTATAAATAAATTTAAAAATTGTAAATAAAAGAGTACAATAAGCATTGATGTAACAAATGTTGAGACTGCTGTTGACAGATTCACGAGGACATCGAACAAGCCCCTCCCCTAGCCTCCCTATATCTCAAAATAAAAAGGAAAAAAGAAAAACAAAGACAAAACATTTTATTGAAAAATAAAACAAAGGTTTTAATGAACCTAACAAGCTAGCTAGCAAATTGGGAGGGGCGCCATTCCACTCCTTTAGGCAATCCAACAAGCCCTGCACATATAGCCGAAAATACCTGTCAAACTCCTCAACGGGTGATTGGAACTTGTCCCGCTTAAGAAACGAGTTCTGAACACTTCTCTTACAAACTTGTACAACGGGTATGGCCTACATTTCTTGATCCTGTTTGGAATAGTTGGCCTTCCACTCTCAGCTTCACATCTGACAAACAGGCCTTTATCTCGTCTTCAAAGGCACCTATTTTATGGAAAATAGAAGTGTTCCAACTCTTCTCTCTGTCACAATTCACAAAGGCATGATCGACGGGAACTTGCCTTAGCTTCTGCATTAATGGAACGTGCAGCAACACGGGTCATCAATGTAGGCAAATACAAGTTCTCAGTCGACTACCGCCAGCAAATCCTTCTCAGAGAACCTGGATGGGTGAAGCTCTCCGTTGAATCCAATGAGTAAACCTTTTGGCAACTTGACCAACTATATTCTTCACTGCCTTCTTCAAGTTCTCCTCCAAATGCCGCAAGTCAATAGCTTGGCATAAAGCTACCATGTAGCACACATGAGCTTTAATATGTCAATAGCTTCGGCTGTTTTTCTTGAAGATATTAAGCCCAAGGAGTTGACATCTTGGTTGTGCTGCTCAGCACTTTGAACATGGTTTTGGTCACTGGATTAGCTAAAAATTGCAGTTCAGAACAACAAGCGGCCATCGCAGTTTCAGCACCTTCGAACCCATAGTCCAAGCTTGGATCACCACCCCGATAAATTTGAAGGCAACCCATTACTGTAGAATCCATTGTGCAAACATGACTTTTCCTACGGAAGCAATGGCAAGAAGGGTATTGTCCATTGCCACTCCAATCGGAGTACCTGGAATTTTCCTCCGTGAAGGGCCTCATTCCTTGCCACATCAATTACGGAGTTGTCATTCACTGAGTTAATCTCCCTCTCCACTAGTTTGGTAGCTCCTCTAATGACTTCAATTTGAGGCCCCAGCCATTGAGGTGCATAATCAAGCAATTTGTTTTTATAAATATATACGTTTATTTAATTATGTATAGAATAATGTTTAAAGTTTTTAAGTTGCAGGTATGATCAACTTTAATATTTACGCAAATTTTGCTTGTAAATAATTTATTTTATTTGAATTTATTTAATCTAAATTATGTTTTTGAGATCTTAAATGATAATAATGTAAATGTGTTGGACAAATATTATCTTCATAATTATGAAATGAATTTCAGAAATGACATCGATGAGTTTTATTTAGATGTCATGTACTCTAAAGTTCAAGATTTTAGATGGAATTTGCCGGTATTTGGGGTTGAGTCTATCCTAGGCGAGGACGGATGTGACCGAACAGAAATACTTAATTGAACAAATCTATAAAATTGAGGGGTCCAATCGAACAACTGAAGATTGGTGATTTAATTTAACATAGGATAAAAGTTCGTGAGGGCAGTTGTGCCTTCTGTCCTTTTTAAGTCAAGAACAGAGAAGGAAGAAGAACTCAAATATTTAGAAAACTTTCTTCTTCTAGTTCCATGAAATCAGAAACTCATCAATGATGCCAATGGTGGACAAGGCGACACGAGGATTGCTGACAATTTGATAAGGACTTGGCTTCTAATCTGCATCGAAATGCAATAATCTTTGCAGTTTACGCGAGTAATGTGGAGAGCAATGTCAACTTCATGCCTCATTTCCCGCAATTTGACCTGGGAGAAAACAATTGTCCATCCAAACCATTCAGAACGAACTTTCACGGAAAAACTGTTAGCACTCTTGAAACTCTGTGTTTCCACCAAGATGTTGCAACAAATCCACACCCAGATGCTGATTAATACCATCCACAAACCGAATTTCCTGTTATCTAAGCTCATTGATTTGAAGGACTTCAACTATTCCTTCCTGTTCTTCTCTCGCATACTCGAACCTAACGACTATGCCTTCAACATCATGGTTCGCGGCCTAACAACTACATGGAAAAAGTTCGATCTCGCTTTGAAGTTGTATTACCAAATGAAGTTCTCAGGCTTGAAACCGAATAATTTTACATACCCGTTTTTATTCATAGCTTGTGCGAACCTTTTGGCGTCAGAACATGGACGGATGGGTCATGCGATGATTTTCAAGGATGGGTTGAACGTAATACTCATGTTAATATTCATTGATCACCATGTATTCAAGATGTGGAGAATGGTTTGTGCAAGGAAAGTGTTCGATGAAATTCCGAAGAGAGATTTGGTATCTTGGAATTCGATGATATCTGGGTACTTCAAGATGGGGTTTGCAGGGGAAGCAGTGGCGATGTTTGAAAAGATGAGGGATGAAGGTTTTGAGCCAGACGACATGACTGTAGCGAGCGTTCTTGGGGCGTGCGGTGACTTGGGGGATTTGAATTTAGGAAGATGGCTTGAAGGATTTGTTTTGAACGGTCAGGTGGAAGTTAACTCTTATGTTGTATCGCCCTTGATTGACATGTATGCTAAATGTGGTGAATTGATGTCAGCAAGGCGAGTGTTTGACACGATGAAGGGTAAAAATGTGGTCATCTGGAATGCTATGATTACTGGGTAAGTGCTCTTGCACAAAAAGATTAGGATCCCATCAAAGTCAGGGCTCTGCATATGTTGTTACCAACGTACCACATATTCACGTGGCAGTTTACTATTAAAAAAATTAAATTAAAAAGCACGGGTATTTTTCTTTGTTAAGAAAAATGTCAATCAATTAAGGCATGGTTATAGCTAGCTTTTCAAAATAGTATAAATGCTGGAAAGAAGTAAATAAGAGTAAGGGTAGATCATTTTTTTCAGGACCATGTTAGTAAGAAAAAAATTAATACAAAAATATAGTCTTCTATAAATGCGAGAACAAGTGCAATGCAACAATTTCTATCCATCAAAATTTTAGATCTTTTTTCAGGGGCTTAATGATTTTACTTGAAGACCCGAAATGATATTCTGACCAAAATCGTTATTTGTTTTTATGCCCATCTTTTTCTTGGTTTTTCTACCCATGGTAGGTATGCACAAAATGGGTTGTCAGATGAAACAATCATGTTATTCAATGCCATGAAAGTTGCAGAAGTTAAGCCAGACAGAATAACATTGATCGCGGTGCTATCTGCTTGTGCATCAACTGGAGCTCTAGATATCGGAAAGTCAGTTGATACATATGCTTCAGAGAGCGGTTTACAATATGATATCTATGTTGCTACAGCCTTAATTGACATGTATGCAAAGTGTGGATGCATGGACCAAGCCCTCAGAATATTTGAAGCAATGCCCCAGAAAACAAGGTTTCTTGGAATGCCATGATTTCTGCACTCGCTTTTCATGGACGTGCTCGGAGGCCTTACTGCTATTTAAGCGCATGTTAGAGGATGATGGACCTACCTGTCCAGATGATATCACATTTGTTGCAGCACTTTCTGCTTGTGTGCATGCTGGTTTGGTTGATGAGGGCCTTTGGTTGTTTAACTTAATTACATCTTTTAAATTGGTTCCAAAAGTTGAGCACTACTCATGCATGGTTGATCTTTTAGCACGTGCTGGACAGCTGCATGAAGCATGGGACTTCATTGAGAAGATGCCTGGAAAACCAGACGAAGCAACCTTAGGTGCATTGCTTTTTGCTTGCCAAAAAATTGGGAATGAAGATGTTTTTGAGAAGGTTATGCAGCTGCTTATAGAATTAGAGCCTTCAAATTCTGGAAATTATGTTATCTCATCACAGGTGTATGCCAAATTTAAAAGGTGGGATGACTCAGCAAGGATGAGACTGTTGATGAGACAAAAAGGTGTGGCCAAAACTCCTGGTTGTAGTTGGATGGAGATTGATTCTCAACTTCATACATTTCACGCTGGGGCCTCTCCTCACCTATGTTCAGAAGAGATTTACAAAGTAATGAAGTTGTTACATGATGAGATGAAAATGAAAGAGCATGACATGCTATAGAAAATCAAGAATGAATAGCCCAATTCGAGGGATCAATCTCATCAACTACTGGAGATAATTCAATATATGAACTTGTAGTTTTTGCTTGATATTTGCATGCCTGGATGATCAATTAATGCCTTCTATTGTGAGTATACTGCAGGTACTGTATTGATATGATGCTGAAAATCTTTATTTATTGGCATTTTCCCAAAATCTAAGTGCTGATATATTATTCTATATGGTAGCTTTTGCACTTAAAATGTCTAGCAATTATCCTTTGGTTTCAGAGAGGTTTATGATTTTCTTTTATTTGTGCTTCATTATCTTAGCACTAATTTTTTACAAAGATGGCACAAGGCTTTTTTTGGAATATATATCTTCCTAATGTTTATTACTTAGACTGAACTTTTTCTGTTTCTAGTGATTTGAAACTGATGATTTTGCTTCAGCATGAGGCTTTCATTTATCTATTGTCGATCAATTTGTTATATTGGCAACAATTCATCCTATTCAAACGAAGAAATGTTGATTTTGAGCTTCATACATCCATTCAATGACGATGTTTGATATTCCATTTATGCATCAAGGATAAATTTTATCTTCAATAAGTAATTTTATGATGAAATTGTTGCCACATTTTATCAGAATTCCTAATGCGGATAGTTCTCAATGTAACCCACAGCGGAACTTATGCATGCAGTGGAAACTAGTTTATGGCCATGTAGCAAGATCAACTTGACTCAACTGTTTTTTCTACTGCATGGTTTCAGCTATATGGATCATATTGCCTCCATTTCGCTCTATGGGAAGCCATGGTTGCAGTTAATTGAGTGAATGAGAATTCTAATCTTAACTTAAGAATTCTACTCTCTAATTCTTAATGTTGATGTCCATGATTGGACAAGGTTGGCCTTTGCCTTCTTTAGCAGCATTTGATATTTCGACCAAACTAATTTTTGTTGAGTGAAAATCAAATGATTCAGCATCTAGGCTCTGATGTCTGACTTTAGTTTCATTTAACAAATTTAAGATTGACTCTGACGGCCACAGGCTCTTTTCCGTTGCCTTTATGTCTTGTAGTCTAATGCCTTATTTCATTAGAAAACTGGTAAAAATAGGAGACTTGGGGGATTTTAGGGTGAAGAAGATCGATAATATCATAGAGGTGTGGAGAAACGATGCTTGTGGTTTATCTGTGGTATTAAAATTATTTTCAATGGCTTACATTGGTAAATAATGTATTTTGCATTTGAAAAATTACAACAGCCTGATTTCGATTTATGAATCAATGAAGTGGTGTATTCCTTGACCATCAATTTGCCACTTATTAACGAGTTTTTGACCTGTTCATTTTCTTAAGAATATTGACACACTCTTTCCTTTCACTGAGATAGGTGGAGATGACAAGCTAAAATTTGCCTCGTAAAGAACCACCATCCATTGGCATGAAGCAATTTACATCTGATTTGCTTTAGAACACAACTGGCCTTGTAAAGAAGCAGAACAGATAGAAGTGACACATCCTTTCAGAGAAGATGATAATGAGTTTAATGAACCTCTGGATGGATATAGTGGAAATGAAAGCAGAATTGACGAGGTACAAAGTGGAAACGAGAGCCTCCAATATTCCTGATAAAGCAGTCCTTAAACATATCAAGAGGAGGTTCAGGGTGAGCTTTGCTTTTTGAAAAATCGGTAAATCTAGTTATTCATGAACTCAGATGAAAGGTAAATTCACACGTGAATTAGCTGATAATACAAGCGCAGAAAGTATTCATATAGTTGGTGTTTTCAAGTAATGCTGCGTAAAATAATTATAAATTGGGTTATATGATTATGAATTATCTTAAGTTGATTTAAATAGCATCAGAGAAGATGAGTAAAAATAACTATAAATCATGAGTGAAACCTCAAATTACTAAGTTGTTGTTTTGTTTAAGTATTTACGGGAAATCTAAATCCATTCGAATCAAACATTTCCCCTTTCTTTTTATAATTTATGAAGGTAATCTTCACAACTATTGTCTTGGTTTTTTCAGATAATCAGATGGCCTGGAAAACTTATCACCCGCTCTAGATTAAAGAATCATGTCATGTTTGAAGATCCTCTACTCAAGTGATGAGATTTATATCAATAGTCATAAGCAAGCAGACAGGCGTAGGTTTCAGATCTATCACAGATTCGTATCATCATCTTATTTGATTGCTGTAATATACACGATATATTTTGTAGTTTAAACATTAGGATTATTGGCTGCCTTCCTGTATTATGTTGGAAAACGTTGGGATGTGTAGGTATTAATCTTGCTGATATATTGCAAAATGGACACATCAAGGAGAAAATCCATCTGAAAGACCAAGGAATGGAGTAATACCTGTGTGCATCTAGGGTTGGATGACATGTATGTGTGTGTATTATATATACACAGTCTTAGAGTAAGGGTTATATAAACGTGTTTGTAATTTTTACCAAATTGTGCTGAAATGTCAACATGTATCATTCTTTTGAGGACGCTCTTGGCCAGTTTTAATGTTTGCCAGTTACCATTTCTCTCTCATAAAACCACAGAACAAAATTCCCTTCTCCTGGGGTGCATTCGAGTTTTCAGTCAGTTTTTAACAGAAAATGAATGACAGAGCAACTTTAGGACTTTAGATTAAGGTTCTGTGGCGCACTTGATAATAGATCTTCAGGAGATAAAGGGATGTTTGGTAAAAGGATATTTTCTTTTTATTTTTTCTGTTTATTGATATGGAATGGAAGCTTCTTCAATGGAGGCAATTTTACTGCTTTACCCCTCCATGTATGTTAAGGAAATGGCAACTGGAAAGAGTTTAAAACCATAAAACAGGGCAATGTCGACAATTTAGTTTATTTCATTGTTGGACTCCATTACGACCTAGTTTGAAGCTTTTACAGAAGCCAGTGGAGCCCAAAAACTCTAAGGATCTTCACTTGCCAAAACTTATTTTCTAAAAGTCTACAAATTTATTTAAATTTATTTTTTAATGCCAGAAAACATTTTAAATTTTAAAAAACCTAAAATAGGTTATTACCAGAAACAATCCCACCACCACCACCATATTATGCATTGCATGAAACCCTTGTGTAATGACCCAATTCTAGTTTAATTAAGTTTAAGGGGTTTAATTGCAAGATTTAGAAGTTTCAGGGATCAAATAGGAAAATTGGAAGGGTTTAATTGAGGGGATTAAGGGTTTTGGGGGCTAAATTGAGAGATTGGGAAGTTTAGGGGTCAAGTGCATGAATTGAAAGAATAGGGACCAAATTGAAAAATTCAGAAAGGGGTAGAATTGGAAGAAAATGAAGTCTGGAGGGCCAGACTGGGACAAAACTGAAAAGGACAGATTTACAATGATCCGCACTGTAGATCCATCATTGTCCTCGATTGAAGCCAAATTTCGGCTTAAAAATTGCTTTAGGGTGTGGGTTAGGTTGGTGTGAAGAGTTCTCCTAAAGAAATCTTGAGAGTTCAATGAGAGAGTGAGGAGCTTTGGGCGAGTTTTGGGTTCGGCAAAGGGTGCTCGGTTGGATGAGCTTTTGGGGCTTTTCGAGGCTTTTTCATTCAAATTTCTTCAATTAAAAGCCGGAGGTGGCTTTGTCAAGTTCGGTTTCAGTGGTCGGAGCTCGGATCAAGGGTGAAAGCAAGTATGTTATGCTTTTTTTCTTTTTTTCTTTCTGGTTTTGTGTCGAGTGCGTTACAGACCCGGTGGGGCAACCGGGTCTATGTTGCGGGTGGAGAAGAAGGGACTCAGGTGATCTGGGTCCCCGTGTCAGGTTGGGCTGGATCGCTGGGCCTAGGCTTGGGCCAGCCCAAGTTAGTGGCCCAAGTCACGAGCCTAAGCAGCAAGCTAAGCCATGAACGCAAGCCGAGCTGAGCAAAAAAAACAAAAGAGACAGTTGACCGAACCGGCCAGGGGGTTTGACTAGCTAGTTCAGTGGCCTTTTTGGGCCAGATTTTTGAAGTAGGACCAATTCCCAAGGTTTGGGGTTTTCTGAATCTGATTTAAGGGTTTTGTGGCCAATTTAGTTGAGTTTGAGGTAATTTTAAGCCGGGTTAGGCCAGTCCGAAGGTTTTGGAGGCCGGTTCATTATGATTTTGGGATTGTGGAGGCTGGTTCTTTATTGTTCAAGGTTGTTAAGCTGAAGTGTTGAGTGTTAGTGAGTCACGTGGGTCCCAGTGGTGGGTAGTGGTGCCTCGAGATGCGTGTTAGGGTGCAAGGATGGGATTTGAGACGGTTATGGGCTGTTGAGCCCGTTTCTTGCGCTGGTTTTGGTATTAATAATGGTTTTTGTGTGATTTTGATTTCAGATTTACTAGTGGAGTATCTAGACCGTTGAGTTGGTTGTGCGACCTGAGACTCCGTTTTGACTTAGCTTGTATTGTGAGTGATGATACCCTTTATATATATATTTTTTCATTCCTGTTTTCTTAGCATGATGGCTGCATAGATTCTGCAAACTGTATTTTGTTACATGAGTCTCGGGATATGTGTTGTGTTTTATTGTGGTAATGTGAACTATGTTCATATGTTATGCTGGTCTTGATCTATGGTATATGCATATGCTTTGGATCTAGACATGTTGGTATGCGATACTATTTTGAGATTTATAGACTGTATTTGTTTGTATATCTGTTTGATTGGATATGTGGAGAGTCGGGTGATGCACTAAGATCGTTTGCTCTAGTTGTGAGATGGAGAATGCCTCTCGACCAGGAGCGTGGTATGATTACCCTGATGGGCATGTGACTCAGGTCGTGATATGGAGGATGCCTCTCGACCAGAAGCGTGGTATGTGATTGTGTTGGGCCTGATTGTGAGATGGAAGATTATTCCGACTGAGGCGGGAGTCTCAGTGATCATCATACTCTCATATATGTATGTTTTGATACTAATATTGCTCATTGTGTATATGTATGTATGTGTATAGCTTTGGACTTGTGGTGTGACACATATCCTAACATGTATAAACTAAGTATCATCTGTACTCACTGAGTTTTGCGACTTACTTTTTATAAACTTTTCAGATCTAGGTTGCTGTTGTAGAGTAGTATACTAGAGTCAAAGCGATCTTCTGCAGATTTGTTAGATGTACGGACATATTTTTTTATTTACCTATTTTTGAACTTTAATGTTCTCTTTATTATTCAAACAAGATCTTAGTTTGTACTTGAATAGTTTGAAATGTTTATATATAATTTGTTTGATTTTGTTGTATAATTGTTTGTTAGGAGGCTGACTAAAATAGAGACCTAGTAACTATCAGGGAACCAGGGCTTCTGGTGTGACACCTTGCAACAAGTCACCTCCTCACTCTCAAAGAAGCTTGTTTTGGTCAGCTGTACGGGAAATCGGGATCTGAAGCAACAACAGTCTCGTCCAATCAGTCCTCCTGGCTGATCAGTAAAAGAAGCCAAAGCTCTCTAGTCTAATCTCTCTCGCAACTCCCTTGCATATGTATCTCTACCTGACCCTCTGTACGATTTTTTTTCCCTGTCTTTTGAAGAATGAACTTATTTTGGTGCCCCTAGACTTTTTTTGGGAGAAATCTATTAAAAGAAAAAAAGACTTCAAAAAGAAAATTAAATTTTGAAGTGTCAACCTTTGCTTCTCCGAGCTTAAAAATTCTAATAATAAGCAAATGACCATAGATAGATAGTTGTTCCCACTTTTGAAATCCGGCTTGCCCCACTCTTCTTCCGCCGAGAACCATTAGTTTATTTTCTCTCTTGTAAAACGTGAGTGGACCGATTCGCGGCAGACAGCACCGCAGCGGCTGCAATTGTCGATTATTTATAAGCATTTAATCAACATTAATCGATTTAGTTCATGTAGCATTGTCGCCGGACGAAAACCCAAGAAACTGATTACTAAAAAGCAATTAACCAATATTAATCCATTTTAATAATGTAGCAATTGTCGACGGAGGACGAGATTTTTGTCCTCTTCGATTCGATGGAACGATTGAGCGGAGCTTGATGAAGTAAGCGTGTTCCACGAATTCAGCAGTGCGGTCGCAGCAGGAGATCGAAAAGAGAGAGAAGAAAGAAAAGGAGAAAGGAAATAAGGGAAAAAAAATAATAGGAAGAAAAAAAGATTTGGGCGGTCTGCAACAGAGGACGACCCAACAGGAAGAAGGAAAGAAAAAAGTGAAAAGGAAAAAAAGAAACTTTCCTTCTCCATTTTCATCATTTTTCTCAAACCATGACATCAACCTCTTCATCTTCTTCACAACACTCCTGTTCATCGAGATTATTAGAAATTTTCGGGGTTTCTCCAATCCCTGTTGAGTTCGATTCCAATCTTCAGAATTTCAATTACCCCACACTTGCAACGCTTTGAATTACCAAACCCATTTCCGATACCACTTGATTTTCCTCTAAAATCATATAGAAGTTGAGGGAGGAATTGAAATGATATTCAAATCAAATTGCACGAATTTCAGCCTCTAATCAAAAAGCTGTTCATTTCATTGGAAAAAGCCTAGAACGTATCCAAAAAAAATCTCTTTTAATAGTCGACAACAGAACAAAGCAGATGCAACGAGCAGAAACGACCCTCAATCCCATGTGGGTCGACTGGGAGATTCTCTAATCCAAGTTTGAATAA